TTGCACATTTTTATTAGGATGTCTCCTTACTCTTAAGTTACAAGGGTTCTTTATGTTCTGGATACAAGTACTAGTCAGCTACATGTATTATGATTATATGCTCCCAGTATGTGGTTCATAATGGTGTTTTTTTTTTAAGCTCAAGTTTTGAATTTTGGTGAAGTCCAATTTATCAGTTTTATTTTATAACGTATGCTTTTTATGCTATAAGAAATATTTTCCTACCCCAGGGTCATAAGCATTTTCTACTGTTTTCTTTTAGATATTTTAAAGTTTTAGATTTTGCATTTAGGTCTATAATGCATTTTCTGTTACTTTTTGTTTGTAACATGAAGGGAAGTTCTTTTATCCCCATATAAATACCTAGCTGCTACAGCAACATTCAATGAAAACACCTTTTGCACATTGAATTATTTGAGCACTTTGTAATTTTTTTTTTCACCCAGTTTCCACATTCAATGTAATTTTTTTTTTTTTTGAGAAGAGTCTCATTTCTGTTGCCCAGGCTAGAGTGCCGTGGCATCAGCTTAGCTCACAGCAACCTCAATCTCCTGGGGTCAAGCAATCCTCCTGCCTCATCCTCCCAAGTAGCTGGGACTACAGGCATGCACCACCATGCCTGGCTAATTTTTTCTATATATTTTTAGTTGGCCAATTAATTTCTTTCTATTTCTAGTAGAGACAGGGTCTCACTCTTGCTCAGGCAGTCTCAAACTCCTGACCTTGAGCAATGCTCCCAGTTCGGCCTCCCAGAGTGCTAGGATTACAGGCATGAGCCACCATGCCTGGCCTCTTTTGTCAAATTTAATTGATAACATATGTGTAAGACAATTGTTGGACTCTATCATGTTGTATCTACATATATATCTATGGTCATTCCAATACCAAAGTCTTTATTAGTGCAGTTATTTAGAAAGTGTTGAAATTAGGTAATATAAGGCCTTCAACTATGTTATTTAAAACATTTTGCTGTAGTCATTCTAGGTCCTTTCAAGTTTCATATAAATTTTACCCAGCCTGAGCAAGAGTGAGACCCCATGTCTACTAAAAAAATAGAAATAACTTACCTGGACAACTAAAAATATATAGAAAAAATTAGCCGGGCATGGTGGCGCATGCCTGTAGTCCCAGCTACCCGGGAGGCTGAGGCAGGAGGATTGCTTGAGCCCAGGAGTTTGAGGTTGCTGTGAGCTAGGCTGATGCCACAACACTCTAGCCCGGGCAACAAAGCGAGACTCTGTCTCAAAAAACAAACAAACAAAAAATTCGTATTAATTTTTGATTAGTATGTCAATTTCCACACAAATGCCTCTGAATCTAAGAATCACTTTGGGGAGAACTGCCATCTTAACAATAGTGTGTTTTCCCATCCTTGACCATGGCACAGTTCTCCATTTATTATGTGGTTATTGTGTATTCCTATGTGTTAATTTCTTCCAGCAATGCTCTACAATTTTCATGGTACAGATCTTGCACATTATTAAATTTATCTAAGTATTTCAAATTTTAGTACATTTAGTATTGTAAATGTAATTGTATTTCTAGATTCAGTTCCTAATCATTCACTGCTAGTACATAGAAATGAAATTGATTTTTGTATATTAATTTTATATCCTGTGACCTTGCTAAATTCCCTTATTAAGGTTCTAGTAGATTCTTTGTAGATATGAGCTTTTCAGTAGAAAAAAAATTCTACCACTGAAGACATTGTTTTCCTGATTCTAAAAGTAATATATACTCTTTGATGAGACTTTGTCAAGAATTGTTAAGTACAAAACACTAGAAAAGCAAACTCCAATTTTCCCAATATGTAGGTTAACTGCTAGTAATCCTTTGACAAATTTCCTTACAATTTTAAGCAATATTCACTTCTTTTTACAATGCAATTATTTCTATATATTTGAGATTGCTTCATATAGATATTTATATTTTTGTATAAGACATAACAGCATCAACATTTTTCCTATGTTATCAAACTTTCTGTGTACTTAATTTTTTTTTTTTTTTGAGACAGAGTCTCACTGTGTTGCCCGGGCTACCATGCCCTGGCATCAGCCTAGCTCACAGCAACCTCAAACTCCTGGGCTCGAGCAATCCTCCTGCCTCAGCCTCCCAAGTAGCTGGGACTAAAGGCACGCGCCACCATGCCTGGCTGTTTTTTTCCGATATATTTTTAGTTGGCCAATTAATTTCTTTCTATTTCTAGTACAGATGAGGTCTTGCTCTTGCTGATCTCGAACTCCTGACCTTGAGCGATCCACCCACCTTGGCCTCCCAGAGTGCTAAGATGACAGGTGTGAGCCACCGTGCCAGGCCTGTGCAGTTAATTTTAATGTCTGTATAATATTCCATTACAGGGTTATGCCATAAATAACTATTATACTATTGTGTTTTTGTATTTTGCAAATTGCACACTATTATAAGCAATGTTTCAGTGATTACCCATAGATATAAATGTCTCCAAACATTACAGGTTAGGTCCTTAGGGTGTTAAGAGTAACATTATTAATAACTCACATATATAGCACATACTACGTGTGTATACTTCATACATATTATGTCACTTGATCCATACAACCATCCTCTGAGGTAGAAACTGATAGTATCATCATTATAAAATTGAGGAAGTAGAGCCACAGGTTATCTGAAATTTTTGAGAGGCCCAATTAAGGACTATTCTCCCATAAAGAACCAGTACTATAATGAAAACCATTTCTGTAGGTGTCTCAGATGTTTGTATGGTGTATAAGCACCAAGAGGAGCACAGGAAATGAAAAACCCAGGACCACATTATAGGTCTGACTTCACAGAAAACATGACACCTAAGCCAACTCACTTCATCTCAGCTATACTAGGATGAGTACAAGTAAGATGCTCTCATGTTCCTTGTAGTTCTCAAGTCTCATGATTCTAATCATCATTTCTAGACTTTTCCTCAGAGAGATATCAAGATCTCTCTGTATGCTTGGTGTCAACAATATTCATTTATCATTCAACTATCAATCATTGAGCATCTAACGTATATGATAGAAAATGGCAAATCATTCTCAGTCTGTACACACAAGATATCAACTTATAGAATAAAACATAAAATTAAAACAGATTCTCTTCCTGAATCTTTTTAGGGTTATGGACTTACCAGAGAATCTGAAGATTGGGATCCTCTCCCTAGAAAGTAAAACCTTTGTACAAACAAAACAAATTTGCATACAATATTAAAAGTTGTTTATTGACCCTCAGAAATGAAACCACATATCCACTATTTGTCAGTGATTTTCCCAGGCTGATAAGTTCTGACTTAGGCAAAAGTTAAAAACATGTATGAATGGAGAAGTGAGAACTCAATGAGTTCTTATATGCACATGAGCAGATTTAAATTAAATAATAGACACTAGGTGGGCAATAACATTAACGATCACAGCTAATAATTACAGACGAGTTAATATATGTCAGGCACTATCCTAAGCTGTTTATGTTTACTCAGTTAATACTCACCACAATCCTATGAGGTACTATTATTTCTAATTTACAGAGGAGACTATAAGTGAAGCACAGAGAAGCTAAGTGGCATGCCTAAGATCACTTAGCTGGTAGGATCTCAATCTGGTAGTCCAGCTCAAGTCTATGCTCTTAACCACTAAGTTTTCTTTATAAAGATAAAAGACTACCTTGAGAAAGAGGGTATCTTTGAGCAGTGCTGTTTGTCTCATGAGGACACTTGGTCTAAATATTCCCTGGATACCTGTTCCCACTAAAATAGAAAGCCCCACCCCCACCTGCCAATGTGTCCAATGCCCAATGTTTCCCTAGGTCCCAACATCCAGAGAATTACTTTTTAAATTCTCAGGAGCCTTTACCAGCATATCTTAAAAAGTGAAACTCAGTGACTCAAAACAACTTAGAAACAATAGAAAAGTTTCCTAGCAAGTGGTTCTGAACCTTCCTTGATGGTAGAAGAGAAAAACTAGATACTCTTTTTTAGTATTTAGAAATGTCCTTTTTTTTTTTTTTTTGAGACAGAGTCTCACTTTGTTGTCCAGGCTAGAGTGAGTGCTGTGGCATCAGCCTAGCTCACAGCAATCTCAATCTCCTGGGCTCAAGCAATCCTACTGCCTCAGCCTCCCGAGTAGCTGGGACTACAGGCATGTACCACCATACTCGGCTAATTTTTTGTATATATATTTTTTTAGTTGGTCAATTGATTTCTTTCTATTTATAGTAGAGACGGGTCTCACTCTTGCTCAGGCTGGTTTCGAACTCCTGACCTTGAGCAATCTGCCCGCCTCGGCCTCCCAGAGTGCGAGGATTACAGGCGTGAGCCACTGCGCCTGGCCTAGAAATGTCTTAAAATAAATATTACAGCTACACTAAATAAACTATAAAACTCATTTATAATTCCATTATCTAACAAATAAATCCTGTTCATTTATCTATAAATACTTTCAATTGTTGCCCACATGCAAATATATTTTAAAATAGGTATTAATAGTAGTCTAAGTGTATTGTTCTTTCATTTCTTTACATTTTCCTTGCTGTTAACCAAAATGTTGTTTATACCAGACACATAAAACATACTAAACACTACTAAGTATCCCAGAAGAGAGGCACAATCAAGTAAACAATGACATACTTATGCACTGGAATATTATTTTCCACAACTCTCCCTATAGTGGCATACTCATTTACCTTTCAAAAGAAAGTAATGAAACTGGGTTATCGCTCAACAACTCACCTAGTTAATGTTTCCTTCTCAGATTCTAGCATTTAAGAATTGGTCAAGAATGCTCATAGGCCAATTACTTTTGTAGGAATTTGTGGAGAGAAGACAATCTGTTGCATCTGTGTGTTCAAATAAAATTTGTGGGTTTTTTTTTTTTTTACCCCTCCAGGATGAATTCTCTAGCATGCAGTATGATAGTAAAAATGATTGAAAGCATTTCCAGATAGACTCCATTTGTACAGCTTATTCCCAGTTCTCTAAAGCAAAATAAATGTATTGCTCTTTGTGATGAATTTTCCATACTCATTATATTAATACTAGTAAGTGTTTTCTCTAATATGATTTGTTTGGTATCTAATAAGGTTAGAGCTATTAACAAGTGCTGCCCCACACTGATTACATGTGAAGAACTGCTCTCCAGTGTGAGCTATTTGATGGACTATAAATGGAGAGTTCTGGTTGAAGATAATGCCACATTGATTACATTTATAGGTCTCTTCTCCAATATGAATTCTCTGATGCTTAATAAGGTCATTCTTACGGATGAAGGCTTTCCCACACTGACAACATTCATATGGTTTCTCTCCAGTATGTATTCTCTGATGCACAATGAGGGCAGAACTCTGACTGAAGGATTTTCCACAATCACGACACTCATATGGTTTCTCTCCAGTGTGGGTTCTTTGATGTGAGTAAAGGTGAGAGCTTCGACTAAAGCATTTTCCACAATCTTTACACTCAAAAGGTTTCAGTCCAGTGTGAATTCTATGATGCACAACAAGATGAGATCTCTGGCTGTAAGACTTCCCACATTCGTTACATTCATAGGGCCTTACTCTAACATGAGTTCTCTGATGCAGAATGAGATGTGTGCTCTGCCTGAAAGATTTCCCACATTCAGGACACCCATAGGGCTTCTCTCCAGTGTGCGTTCTCTGGTGCCTAATAAGCCTAGAACTATGAACAAAAGATTTCCCACATTGATTGCATGTGTACAGTTTGTCCCCCGTATGAGTTCTCTGATGGGTAACGAGGTGAGAAAACCAGCTGAAGGATTTTCCACATTCTTTACATTCATAGGGTTCCTCACCAGTATGAGTCTTCTGATGTCCAATGAGGTGAGAACTCCGGCTAAAAGATTTTCCACATTCTTTACATTCATAGGGTTTCTCCCCAGTATGAATAAGCTGATGCCTAGTAAGATTAGAGCGCCAGCTGAAGAATTTTCCACATTCCTTACATTCATAGGGTTTCTCTCTATGTATGCCCTTTGATATACCAAAAGATGTACCATGAGCCAGAGAGTTACCATTATCAGGGCATCGGTAGGATTTATTTCCTGTGTGAGTTCTTCCAAATTGAATAAGGTGAATGTTTTGACAGAAGGTTTGACCACGTTCATTACTGTTGCTTGTACAGCTTTCCTGATGACCACTAATAACTAAATTATGTTTTAAACTTTTAGTATGTGAATCCCGTTTGTGGAAATACTCTCGCAGTACTAGCTGAGCAGGAAGGAGACAATTTCCCCCATATTTACCACTTTCACAGACTCTCTCCTGAGAAAGTAATTTCTTTTGGGTGAATGCCACTTGCCTCAAATGTCTCTCCTGGTTTTCCTGATATTTGTCCAACTGGTCTTCACATTTCCAGACTTCTTCTAATGACAAATACCAGAGATCACTGTTTGCCATTCCTTCCTTTTTAATGTCATAGGATTGCTTATCTTTAGCCATGCTCTTACTGGAAACTGATGATTTAATTTCAACTGCAGTCTCCAAATCTGAAAGAAATGAAACTTTGTATAACTAAAGAAAACCATTAAGGTGAGAATGGTAGGATGTATGAAGAGATAAAGTATGTGAGACATGTGTGGATTACTTTCAAATATGATTTTATAACCTTGACAAAGAATGAGAAAAGAAAGGCTGGAGCAGTAAACAGTAAATGCATTGGGCTCTACAGTATTTAAAAGGAGCAAGAAGAGTGAGGGGAAGCATAGAACAGAGCATGACATATGAGATCAGGGTATTCAGTGGTGAAGGTATCAAATAGAAAAATCCCACATGAAGGTCTCTACCCCCACTTTCCAATCCAAATACTAACAATGTAAGTAACCTGTCTTTATTATATTATATTATATTAATGATATGATATGATATGATATTATCTACTTAGTACCAAGACTTTCCCTTAATAAACATTCTTCCTCAGAAAAATTTTTTCTGAGTAGTACTGGAGTAGGGTAAGCCCCTACTTCAACATGAATGACATCCTTCTAAAAAGAGTAGAACAGAGAGAGAGGAGAACACCATGTGAAGATGGAAACCAAGGCTGGAGTGATGTAGCCACAAGGCAATGAACATCTGGAGTTACCAGAAGCTGGAAGAGACAAGGAAAGATCCTCTCCTAGAAGCACGGCATGGCCCCAATAACATCTAAGATCACTGAGGGGGCAGCAGTCAGAGAATTGTGCTTAGAAACAAAGGTTGAGGAAGAGAACACTTATAGAGAATAAATGAGCGGGAATGTGAAAAATAACTTTCTATTTTTAACCAAGATATATACAAGGAAGTTGGAAAAAGGAACTATGCTTGGAAGTTGCATAATGATTTGAATTTTAGAGATACTAATAAAATGAAATAGGAATAAAGTAAAAAAGAAAAGAAAAAACTAGATACAGTCAGAAAAACAGGCGTTCTTGAGAGCAGCAATTCTGGAAAGGAAGGAGAGTGCTAAGGCAGCGGGAATTCAGAAGCCTCTTGTAGCAGTTTTCCAACTGGCAGAAAACACCCTCTCAGGTGGGAAGGAAGTGGTGAGAGACACCCCGCCCCTGCAGAGTTTACACAGAGAAGAACTGAGTTGTGGAAAGGGACCACATGAAAAGGAAAAGAAAGGCAAAGATGCAAGAAACGATTCTGTGGAAAATGAGAACACGAGGTTACTGGAGTTAATGTTAATAGTAAGGAAAGCAACACGAGCAAGGGCTGAAACCAAGCGTGTCAGCAGAGAGACGTGATGAAGCAGTAAGACCCCTTGTCTCTGCATGCAAAGGTAAGTGTGACAGGAATGTATAAAGAAGTCTGGCGGTGGGAAAACAGGAGGTAGATGAACTCAGTCTTCCTCTCAGAAACAAGGATCTATAGGGAGGACCACTGACCACTATCTCCAGAGGTTCTAGCTCCACACAGCTCATCTGGGTCATTGCCTATGACGACCCTTGTCTGGTCCTCACCTGGAGTGGTCTCCTGGTGAATCCTTCTCTCTGCCAGCCAGGGCTCTTCCCCTTTCTCCAGCCGAAGGACAACATCTGGCTTAGGAAGCTGATGCCCTGTTCACAGTGAAAGATAAGGAACTGGGTGAGAGTTGGGGGAGCTCCAGGGTAGACACAAAACAACATGTCAGATTCAACCTAACCCCCAAACCCCTTCCAGGACTTGGGGGTACTCTGAAGAGTTGACAGTGTGAGTATGCAGAGGCAGCAAAATTCAATATATTAAAACAAGTTTCCCCAAAAAGCAGTGTAACAACACTGTTTTATACCCCAAAGAAATTAGGTCCCTGAGCCCCGAGCCCATACTCTGACACATGCTTCAAGACTGTGTACATGTTGATCAATGAGGTGATCAAAATGAATGAACCAAAACCACCAGAGTGAATATAACTTCAAACACAGAGTTAGTCTTACCCAAGGAAAGGAGGTTCTTATAGTTCTCCAACATCACATCTTTGTACATGATCTGCTGAGCAGTGTCCAGCAGCTTCCACTCCTCCCTGGTGAAGTCCACAAGTACATCCTCAAAAGTCACCAGCGTCTACAACAAAAACACATTTTCACTGAGCCTAATGCATATTTTTGCTCTCCCTCTCCTGATTCCTAACATGAAGAGAAATTCAGCTGATAGCACTAGGGTAGGAAAAGAGGACAGACCAGAATTTATTCTAGGAGTGACCAGTATTTATTTTAAGGGATTGCAGTCAAGTATTAAAAGGAATAGCTATTAGGTACCTACTGTCTGAAAACAAGTTCCATTTTGTGCTTTCAGAAACTATCAGGCCAGGCACGGTGGCTCACGCCTGTAATCCTAACTCTCTGGGAGGCCGAGGCAGGCGGATTGCTCAAGGTCAGGAGTTCGAGACTAGCCTGAACAAGAGTGAGACCCAGTCTCTACTATAAATAGAAAGAAATTAATTGTCCAACTAATATATATAGAAGAAATTAGCCGGGCATGGTGGCGCATGCTAGCCGCAGTACAACAGAGGCCCTACACGCAGCGATGCTTACCAGGATTTGAGTTCCTGTATAAGGCTTGACTCACGGCACTCATCTAGCCTAGGCAACAAAGTGAGACTCTGTCTCAAAAAAAAAAAAAAAAAAGAAAAAGAAACTATCAAAAGAATTTTAATTTAAATCAAGTATATTTTAAACAGTTATAGCAGGGAGAATCAGACACCAAAAGTTAACGCCACGTTTCTTAGTATGTTGAATGAACTCACTCCCAGGCGAAAACGAAACACATACTGCGTTGAAGTACCACCATTACACGCTTAACGCACTCACCTCTACCTCCACAAACACTCTTCGCGCAGTATCCATAATCGGAGAAATCAGGCAACCAAACATTTTGCACGGCCACCAGCATGACCACGAGACTACCCCTCACTACAGTCAACTAGTCTCACTGAGTTTCCCTCCATACACTAACAGGCCGCCTGGGCACGTGGCTCACACTCGTACCTAGCACTCTCCCTGGAGCCTTTTGGAGGGGTGGCGGCGATCACCAAGTCAGGAGTTCCAAACCAGCCTGAGTAAGAGCGAGCGCATCACTAGAAAAATAGGAAATTAGTCTGCGCCACTAAACAACAATCATATAGAGAAAATACGGGCCGTCATCGTATAGTCAGCTACCTCGAGGCTGAGGCAGAAGGATACGTTCCGAGCCCAGGAGTCGTGCGGGGGTGCTGTGAGCTAGGCTGATGCCATGCTCCAGCCCAAGAACAGAGTGGAGACTCCTTCTCTAAAAATAAACAAGATATGAAGCTAGCAGAAGACAATGGAATGCAGGTGCGCTGGCAACTGCCTGAGTCCTACTTACTAGGAAGAGTCGAGGTACGAGGATCTGTTGAGCCCAGAAGTTAAGACTGACCTTGCAACACTAGTGATGGATAGATCTTACTCTTAACAAAAAAAAAAAGAAAGACGTGAGATGAAAACAATGGAATTATGTTTGTTTTTAAATATGAAATCAAAACCATGAACAAGATCTTTCAGATTCGCAAAAGAAGACATCTCAAATAAAATAAAACCAACAGAATTTGTTGCCAGAAGATCTATTCTAAAAGATGTTCGAAGAAACTTTTCAGACCAGCAAGGGAAATAATACAGAGATACTGAATCTCAGAAATCGAAGACAAATACAAAACAAATAGATATCGGTAAATATATCAGGTGTAAAGTTTTCTCTCTGAATTCTTCAAAAATACATAGGACGGGCCAAGGGCACTGGGCACTTCTCATCCGCTCATAAATCCCAGAACACTGGGAGGCCGAGGCAGAAGGATCACTTGAGACCACGAATTTGCAAACCATCCTGGGCAATACAGTGAGATCCCAACTATACCAAAAAAAAAACCAAACAAACACACACGTGTGGTGGTGCACACCTGTGCACACCTAGGAACCTGTGTTCCTAGGTTCTCAACTGCTTGAGCCCAGGATTTTTGAGTCTGCTATGATCATCCTACAGCACTCCTGCCTGGATGACATAGTGAGATGCCATCTCTAAAATACATACACATACACACACACATATGCACATATATACACACATATATGTACGCTGCAACATTTTCTTATTTACACACACACACCCCACCTTTAACATAAAGATAGGAAAGTAAAGGGACTCATATATTGTAAGCCTTCTAGATTTTACTTGAAGTGATAAAAATTAACTCATAAGTATACTATAAAAGACTGGGTATGTAAATTAAAATCCATATAGCAACCATTTAAAAAACAGAAAAATGTGTAACCAGAAAGTCAAGATACAAATGAAATATTAAAAAATATTCAAATAATCCAAATAAAGGCAGTAAAGTGAGAAGGAGGGAAAGATATACAAAAAACATGTAATAAAATGACACACTTAGGTCCAATCATATCTATAATAATATTAAAGATAAATGATCTAAACATAACCATTAAAAAAGAGATTGCCAAATTGAATTAAAAAAAAAAAAAACCAAACCACAAGCCTCAACTATTTGCTACCTAAAAGAAAATCACATTGAATTTAACCACCTAGAGGTGTTAAAAGTAAAAGAATAGAAATAGATATACCATGGAAACACTAATCATATGAAAGCTATAGTATCTATATTAGTATCAGACAACATAGACTTCAGAACAAAAGATATTACCAGAAATAAAGTGGGATATTACACAATGATAAACAGGCATATCTGAAAAAAAATCCTAAATAGATTGAAATGTAAAACACATATCTATAAAACTTCTATGGAAAAACACAAGAAAAAAATCTTTGTAATCTTGGGTTATTTAAAGGGTTCTTAGCAATAACATCAAAAGCATGATCCACAAAAGAACAAATTGATAGAGTAGACTTCATCAAAATTAAAAACCTCTCTTTCTCTTCAAATGACATTGCTAAGGGAATGAAAAGACAAGCCACAGACTGGGAGATAATATTTGCAAATCATATTATCTAACAAAGGACTTGTATGCATAATGTAAGAACTCTCAAAACTCAACAGTAGAAAACAGACTAGTTGAAAACTACGCAAGACTAGGAAAATACTTGCACATTTTTCATAAACTTGAATATACTCTAGCCATCATTCTCTTGGCTAAATATCTATGAGTATGAAATGACTCATTCATTATGTTATTTATGTTCAAACAAAACCTGTAAGCAAATATATAAATCTGATAAAGAGCTTTATTTATTTATTTATTTATTTAGAGACAGAGTCTCACTTTGTTGCCCAGGCTAGAGTGAGTGCCATGGCGTCAGCTTAGCTCACAGCAACCTCAAACTCCTGAGCTCAAGCAATCCTGCCTCAGCCTCCCGAATAGCTGGGACTACAGGCATGCGCCACCACGCCCGGCTCATTTTTTCTATATATATCAGTTGGCCAATTAATTTCTTTGTATTTATAGTAGAGACGGGGTCTTGCTCTTGCTCAGGCTGGTTTCAAACTCTTGACCTCGAGCAATCCGCCCACCTCAGCCTCCCAGAGTGCTAGGATTACAGGCATGAGCCACCGCACTTGGCCAAAAAGGGCTTTATTTATAATTGCCAAAAACTAGAAGAAACCCAAAAGTCCCTCAACAGGGAATGCATGAACAAAGTGTACTACATCCACAATGGAATCTACTCAGCAATAAAAAGGAAAAACCAATGATTCGTGCAAAAACTGATGAATCTAAAATACAATTATGCTATATGAAAGAAGCTAGAGACTACATACCATATGATTCCATTTAGATGACATTGTGGAAAAGGCAAAATCAATAGATTCATGGCTGCCAGGGGTTGAGGGAGAGGAGGAGTAAGCACTGATTACAAAGGGGTAGTACACAGGGAATTTGGGGGTGATCAGTTTGCTCTGTATCTTGATTGAAGTAAGGGCTATTCAGTCAACTACATGCATTTGCCAAAAATCACAGAACTGTACATCAAAAGGAGAGAATTTTACTGTAAATTTATAAATTTATATTTATAAATTTAAAAATAAATACAAATGTTTTAAAAGGAATGTTCTATGAAGTTTGTATGGTAGCTATCTTCTTTCATTCCCTCCAGATACCTGCTTTACCCTGCTGTTTCTAGGGAGGGTAAGCTGCTCAGACCGTATCAAAGTGTTCCCTTGCCCTCTGCCTTTATAATTTATTTCACCAATTCAGGTCACCAGCTGTATACAGCAATAAAGTTACCCCGATGTGGTGGTGCGGTGCATCCTTTTGATGGATGGTTACAGCCTCTGTGAACAACTGGTCTGGTTTCCAGAACCCGTGCTTGTTCTTGCCCCTTCAGTCCTGGAGATGATGACGCCCTTCCCCACTTCACTTTCATTACTCAATTTCAAGTGTGCCCGTGGTTTTCCACTAGTCTTTGATTCATTCATTGTTGTTAATTGTTTCTAAGAAACTTGCCCATTTTTAATTTAACTGGCCATCTGATTTCTGGCCTGGTGCTTTTAGCATTCCCATAAGCAGTACACTGCACCTTCACTGGAAACACAGAAACAAGCAAGTCATGTGGGTGCCACTGAAAGAAAAGGTGTGTGAGACAGCAGTCAAGAACTGGACTTGGGCTGGGCACGGTGGCTCACGCCTGTAATCCTAGCTCTCTGGGAGGCCGAGGCGGGCAGATTGCTCAAGATCAGGAGTTCGAAACCAGCCTGAGCAAGAGTGAGATCCCCATCTCTACTATAAATAAAAAGAAATTGGCCGGGCACGGTGGCTCACGCCTGTAATCCTAGCACTCTGGGAGGCCGAGGCGGGGGATTGCTCAAGGTCAGGAGTTCAAAACCAGCCTGAGCGAGACCTCGTCTCTACCATAAAAAATAGAAAGAAATTAATTGGCCAACTAATATACATATATATAAAAATCAGCCGGGCATAGTGGCTCCGTGCCTGCAGTCCCAGCTACTCGGGAGGCTGAGGCAGGAGTATCGCTTGAGCCCAAGAGTTTGAGGTTGCTGTGAGCTAGGCTGACGCCATGGCACTCACTCTAGCCTAGGCAAGAAAGCAAGACTCTGTCTCAAAAAAAAAAAGAAATTAATTGGCCAACTAATATATATAGAAAAAATTAGCAGCACATGCCTGTAGTCCCAGCTACTCGGGAGGCTGAGGCAGGAGGATTGCTTAAGCCCAGGAGTTTGAGGTTGCTGTGAGCTAGGCTGACGCCATGGCACTCACTCTAGCCTGGGCAACAAGTGAGACTCTTGTCTCAAAAAAAAAAAGAACTGGATTTGAAATCAGGCAGACCTGGGCTTGAACTTGGATACCTTAAATTCTGGGTTGGATAATGCTTGTTTGATTTATTTAACTTCAACAAGAGTTAGTTCTCTTAGCTGTAACATACTATCTGCCTCATTGTGTTATATATACTAGCACAGTTTAATATTATTTTAGAAGGTATATAGCCCAAGTATACTTTGAATAACCATAGTAATAATACTTTTGTGTGGTTCTCCCTCTTTGCTGGAAGTAAGCACTATTCTGACTTGTGTTATTTATTTGTTGTTTTTTTAAAATAGTTTTACCTCAGATGAAGATAGCTGTAAAAGAATATGTTGCTAGCAGAGAAAGATTTCTGAATTTTCTGATTAGCAAGAGTTGATCTTGTATTAGATTCCAGTTCATTATAGATATAACGATTACCTCCTTCCCTCTGCCATATCAACATTTAAAAATTTCCATAATTACTTTTTGATTTTAAATTTAATTTTTTTTAGAGACGGGGGTCTCTGTCACTGAGGCTGGAGTGCAGTGGTCCAATCATAGCTCACTGCAGCCTTGAACTCCTGGGCTCAAGTGATCCTCCACCCTCAGCCTCCTGAGTAGCTGGGAGTACAAGTGCATGCCACCATGCCACCATGCCTGGCTAATATTTGAATTTTTTGTAGAGACAGAGTCTCGCTATGTTGGCCAGACTGGTCTCTAATTCATGGCCTCAAGTGAGGCCACCCAAAATGCTGGGATTACAGGTGTGAGCCACCCTGCCTGCACCCAGACTGAAAATTTCCGTAATGAAAGAGAGGGAAAAACAAACAAAGCCTGCAGTGACTTTTCTCACCAACTCATTTTCCAGTCAATAAAGCCTAACTTCTTAACAGCATGTTATAATTTAGTCATATTCTCATCCTTGAAAAACTATCTTCCTTAACTCTGCACACACCTGGCTTATAATCTTACCTCACAAAAGACTCAGCCTCCTTTGCAAGGTCATCAGCTCTAGCAGCCTTACCAAGGATCTCTTTGTACTTATTTCAGCTCTGTTCAGCCCTGTCAACGCTGTGCCCTCTTCCATGGGGAGTCCACTAGCCCCATGCCAACACAGCATCTGTGCTGCAGGCAGGGCCAAACAGGCCCAGAAGGCCTGCACTGCCCACATGTTCCCCTCAGTGCTGTGTTTGGGCTGCACACTGAACTGCTTCTAATTCTTCAGTAGGACATGCTCTCTCAAAAACTGGGGCCTCTGGGTGCAGTGGCTCAAGCCTGTAATCCTAGCACTCTGGGAACCTAAGGTGGGCAGATAGCTCAAGGTCAGGAGTTCAAAACCAGCCTAAGCAAGAGCAAGATCCCGCCTCCATTAAAAATAGAAAGAAATTAATTGGCCAACTAAAAATATATAGAAAACATTAGCCAGGCATTATGGCGCATGCCTGTAGTCCCAGCTCAGGAGGCTGAGGCAGAAGGATCACTTGAGCCCAGGAGTTTGAGCTAGGCTGACACCACAGCACTCTACCCCAGGCAACACAGTGAGACTCTGTCTCAAAAGAAAAAAACTGGAGCCTTTACAAATCCAGTTCTCTCATATTTATTCAGACAATCAAAAGTCATCCTTAATGTCTTGGCATAAATGTCATTTCATCATTTTCTTCTGAACCTTTAAACTGTTTAAATCACCTCGTGTGAAATGCACACACCAAATACCTGGTCCAGAGCACTCCAATGTGGGGCTGTGCCCTCCAGACCAGGGAACCTCAGCTCCAGTCTCACTCTGCTTCCCCAGATCACCTGTCCAGACCTGCATGAAGGACCCTCTAGAGGAAGAAGCTGAATAGGCACAAGAGCCAGTCTCTCACCCTGGATGCTCCCAGGCCATTCTGCTCCATCCTCCTCAGAGCTCTTTGTGCCTTGGTTACAAGTTACCCTTTGATAACTACATAACTTGTCCCTGAGCTCCTCCAAAAAGGAGATCCAAGAGGAAGAATTAACACAACCAGCACCACACTCAGGACACTCAGGGACCAGAGAATCCCTAGAGAGGCATCAACCATCCTCAGTTCTCTCATCATCTTTGAGGGAAGAAATCTGATGTCACCTCACTTGACTCCCACCCACATTACTATTAAACGTATGTTTATGTTGTGTTTCTTTTGTATTAAAGGAAATAAAACTATAACTACAAATAAAGTGAACAAACCATGTAATCCTCATCTCCTGGAGAAGAGTGTCTAAGATACAATTTCTGAAGTTCCAGGGCAAGGACTTCAGAACTTAGACAAAAAGGAATTCCCAGCTGAAAAACAAAGATGAAAGCAGCCCAGCTTACCTGGGACCAAGTAGTTAGTGACTCGGCTTCCATGCTGTCCTTGTTCTTGATGGTACCTTCTTGAGTAACAGGAGAGTACTAAGGAGGTAAAGCTGAGGAAAAGAAAGCAACATAAGGAAAGTTTGCTATGACTGGGAGGCTCCCTAAATTGTCAGCCTAAACTCCCTCAAACCAGCTGGGTATGACACAAATACCCACTACAGAGAGGAACATCAGAGATATTCCAAATGAAACTCCCCAAGATTAGGAAAAGAGCTACATAAATTTCATTTTTATCCCTTAATCTCTGGGGTTCCACGGTACATTTCATTTGGAGTTGAATAGTTCTACCTATCACTACAAATCCTCTTTTTTGAGGAAAACATTAAAAATATAAAACCTGACCTGATCTAATATTCTCATTTACAGATAAGAAAACAAGTGTTTTCTCCAACTAGTTGCAGAAGAAAAGTCGGAGATTTGAAGCACAAGAACAATGTGATGCACCGTTACTGGCTTGGAGGTGGAAGGTGCAGCAGGACATGGAAGGAGGCAGACCCCGGCCCTGAAGAGCAGCACCCTGACAGCCAGTGAGGAAACGCGCAGCCACGAAGAACTGAACGCTGCCAAGGAAAAGGGAGCTTCAAAGTAAATTTTTCCCCAGAGGCTCTAGGTGAGAATTCAGTCCAGCTGACACCTTGATTTCAGCCTTTGGATACTGAGCAGAGAACCCAGCCATGCATGTGAGACTTCTGACATACACAATTGTAAGCCATAAAGTCAGTGCTGTTTGAAACTGCTCAGTTTGTGGTAATTTGCTACACAGCAAGAGAAAACTAACACAGTCAATTACCTTTTAAAGATAACTTAAATATTAAGGAAAAATACTAAATATTTACCTATGCTGTTACCACTGCCAGTGCTGTGCATTCCTTTGTGTAGATCCAGATTTCCATTTGTTTCATTTCCTTTCTCCCTGAAGGATATTCTTTAACATTTCTTGTAATAGGGATGATAAAGTCTTTCAGCTTTTTTATGTCTAACAACGTCCCTACTGGGTTTTTTTTTTAATAGTGTTACTGAGATACAACTCACATACCATACAATTCACCCATTAAAATTGTGTAATACAGTGGTTTGAGATATATAATTTTTAAAATTGTGATAAAATAAACAATATTTGCCATTTAACCATTTCTAGAAGTATACAACTCAGTGGCATTATTTACATTCACAATGTTATGCAACCATTATCTAATTTCAAAACTTTGTCAACACTCCAAACAGAAACTCTGTAACCATTAAGCAATAACTCCTCATTCCTCCCTTCTGTCTCTATAACACTTAATCTACTTAATTTGCCTATTCTAGATATTTCCTATAAGTGGAATCATACAATATTTGTCCTTTTAGGTCTGGCTTATTTCACCTAGCATATGTAACATGTATTGGAACTTCATTCCTTTCTAGTGACCAAGTAACATTCCATTGTGTGTATATACCACTTCTTGTTTATCCATTTGTCTGTTGATGGACACTAGGGTTGTTTCCATCTTTTGGCTATTGTGAATAATGGTGCAATGAACACTGGCATACAAGTATCTGTTCAATCTGTTCAAGTCCCTGCATCCCATTCCTTTGGGTATACACCTAAGAGTGAAACAGCTGGATCATATGGCTTTTTTTTTTTTTAGAGACAGAGTGTCGCTCTGTTGCCCCCTGGGCTAGAGTGCCTAGCCTCAGCCCAGCTCACAGCAACCTCAAACTCCTGGGCTTAAGCAATCCTTCTTCCTCAGTCTCCCAAGTAGCTGAGACTACAGGTATGTGCCACCATGCCCGGTTAATTTTTTCTATATATTTTTAGCTTTCCAGCTTCTTTGTATTTTTAGTAGAGACAGGGTCTTAATCTTGCACTGGCTGGTCTTGAACTCCTAACCTCGAGCAATCCTCCCTCCTCGGCCTCCCAGAGTGCTAGGATTACAGGAGTGAGCCACCGTACCCAGCTGTTATGTATGATTTTATGTTTAGCTTTTTGAGGAACCACCAAACAGTTTTCCACAGTGGCTTCATCATTTTTACACTTACACAAGCAATGTACATTGGTTCCAATTTCTCCACATCCCTGTCAAACCCTTGTTCAATTTAAAAAATTATGGCCATCCTAGTAGAGGTGAGGAGCTATCACCACTGTGGTTTTGATTTATATTTTCAGATCACATCAAGAAATAGAAATGTATCCTGCTCCTTCTGCCACAAAGGTAGCAGTAGACCTATTTCATCAATGAAAGCAGCATATAGCTATGAAAAGAATACAGCAGTGTGTATTTTTAAAACCACTGTGACCACGTTGGACTTCTCCAGGAACCTAAGACGTTTTACTACTAAGAAATTTCCTATGCTAACAGAGAAGAACATGGTCATTTCAACAAATGCTAGAAAGGCCATATGCAAAATTTTAATCATCTATTCCCAGGTGGGAAAAAAATGTTAGGAATATTAAAAACCTCATTTTGTACAGCTCGAATATCTGACTCAAACTCACCACCGCCGCCCCCACCTGGTTCAATAACTCTGATCACTGTGGTTGTTCTTCACAAGAACGTTTGCTATTAAGGCTAGGACGTGAATCCCAAAACCGCATGTAGGGAACAGACTCATGCAAGGGGTGAAAATCGCCGTTAAGACAAAATTATTTATTGATGAAATTACCGTTTCCCTAGAAAAGTGAAGTTAATACACTGCACTACTACTAAAAGGATGAATATGTGTCTGACCACGAACCAAATACGCAATATTGAGCCGTTTCGCATATACCTGCAATAAGCAACTAGAAGGTTCGATGGGAGAAAGTGATCCCGTCACAAAGGCAGCAGCAACAGCAAAACCAACGCAGCAGCCCGACTGGGCTAGCAAACACCCCGCAGCGCAGCTCAGCTGCAGCCGCCACAGCGGGACGCGCGGGACACCCCGCCTCGCCGCGGGCTCCTCCCGGCCTGACGTCACGGATGCGCCCGGCCCCTCGCACACGCCGCGCCCCTCCCCGCCGCCCACGCTCACGGAGGCAAGTACGCTCGCTGACGGGCCCGCCTTCGGCCTGTTACGCATGCGCCCCGGCACCTAGCGCACGCGCTGCGGCCCACCACCCTGGCTAACGTACAAGTCCCGCGCCCGGTTCTTTACGCACGCTCCCTGGCCCCGCCCCACACGCTGTGCGTCCCCCGCTCGCCAACAGCACACTCGCTGCGCCCCACCCCTGCCTCCCGCGCTCACGTACACGCCTCGCCCCTGGCCCGTTACGCACGCCGCTCTGCCGACCACTTTCGCTCACGCGGCGCCCCGCCCCTACCGCTCGCGTACGAACACAAGCCCGCCCGCGCTCCACTGAGCCTGCGCCCCGGCCCTTCGCTCTCAGGCCACGCCCCGCATCCTCATCCATACACCCGGCCCGTCACTCTTGCGCACGCGTCTCACCCCAGCCCCCCACGCCCATGGCGCCCGCGGCCTGGCACGCTAGCGGCTTTTGCCCGGGCCACCGGCCCACTCCCCAGTAGCCGCTCCGCCGCTGGCACCGCGGACTCTGCGCTGAGACTTGCGGCCGCGACACGAATACCGGGCTGAGTCCGCGGGGCGGGCGGGGCGGCGCGGGGGCTCCTGGGAAGTGTAGTCCGCCCCGCCGCTCCCAGGCAGGGCCGCGGGAGGCGGAAGCCCGAGGCCGGTGAGCGCGCGGGACGCGGGCGGTGCGGTCGGGCCGCCAAGTTCCTCGCGGGCCGTGAGGGCCCTGCCTTCCACGGAGCCCGGGAAGCGGGGCTGGAAGCGGAAGGCCTGCCCGCCGGTGTGGGGGCGGCGCCGGCAGAGCCGGCTGCAGGACGAGGCTGAGCAGGGCGGGCCAGGCAACCCGTTTCTTTTTCTGCGAGCGAGGGGGGCACAGCCGTCCTGCAAATGCTGTTCACTTTATCCAGCAGCTTTTCCTCACGCTGTTTTGACTTCCTAATGATTCAATGAGTTGAATCAGTCAGTTCTGCTTTTAAACTATTCTTGCATTCCTGGTTAAACCCTGCTTGAATGTGATGAGATACAATAAATTATCATAGATAAAAATATGGACTTTGAGGAGAGAGATTAAATTGGAGATAATGAAATGAACATTTGTTTCAAAGTCACATGTGTACCTTTGACAACTCCAATAAAATTCCTTAGTGAGATGGCAGCCAAATCATCAGTCCTAATGACCATATGTAAGATTATTCAGATAAACACCAAGATATAGAACAAATAAATTTACTTAAAACAGTCGTGTTTAACAGGAAAATTATTTTTCAATCCCAAAATTTTAACTAAAAAAGTAAGAAATTATATATGAAATTTCATTGACCATGCATTTTTGCTGGGTTCCTTTGTCTTTAACTTCTATTTTCTTTTACAAAAATGCATGCTTGATCCACCCAGGCCTGAGAAGTGGTCTTCAGGAGAAGCCAGTACAAATAAGCAGGATAGCAGTTTTAAAAAGGGGCCAAGGATGACTATATTGCATGTCAATACAAATCCTAGAAAAGATTTTAAGCTGGTTAAGCCTTGCTGAGAGGTGGGGGAGGTTCTATAATTTTTTTCACCTTGCCCCCAATGGAGCCCTTTTTCTGTCTCTCATCTATTTCCTGAACCTGCCTTTTTGGCTAAAGGGAAGACTGCTGGTGGAATGTATGTCTCCCATGATTAGATTGGAGAAACATCCTGATCTCTCTGTTTTGCAGGTTTATGCCACTTTCAAATTGACAAGATGGCAATCATTGACGCCTCCCCAACATGGGCTCTGCTTGCATAGGACTCTGCTTGTTTCTGTGTGAGAAATACTGAAGGTGAAAAGATGGCTGCTGGATTTCCAACAATATGGTTGCAAGAACCAGTGACCTTTAGCGATGTGGCTGTGGACTTCACCCAGGAGGAGTGGGTGATGCTGGACTCTGCTCAGAGAAGTCTGTACAGAGATGTGATGTTGGAAAACTATAGAAATCTCACATCAGTGGATTATCAGTTATGCAAACTTACTGTGATCTCCCCATTGGATCAAGAAGAGGTAAGAACTATGAAAAGGAAAATTCCCCAAGGCATCTTTCAAGCCCAGAAGATTCCACTTAAAACCAAAGAATTAACTCCTAAGCAGAAGATTCTTGGGGAGAAATCATCCAGTGCAGTGAAAATGATAAGATTCACAATGGATAATTTGTTCTACACATTAAAAGAAGACAAGGAATGTTATAAGATCATAAAACAGCTCAAGATTCCAGAGGGACGTTTGAGGCAAGTGACATATACCCAAAAGAACATAGTGTCTCAGGAGATGTTCTATAACTACCACGAATTAGAGGAAAAGTCTAAACTTAGATCTAAACTTATTTTTTCACAGAGAGCTTCCACCAGTAAACATTCCCAAAAATGTTACTCAGAGATTGAATGTTTGAAACATAATTTAATCTTAAACAATTTTGAGAAAAAATCTGTAAGTGAGAAGCTCTGTGAAAGTCATGAATGTGATAGAGCTCTATGGCATCTTGAGAGAACTGAGGCAGCACAAAAGGCACACACATGCTCCAAGGATAGTATGCACTTCAAACATAATATGTTTCCTATACATAACAATTTTTATCTGGCAGAGAATTCCTATACATTTAATAAGAACAAAACCTTTTGTCATTCATTCCTTAAGCAGCAAGGGCCAGCTCATAATGGAGAGAAGCATTATGAATGTAATCAATGTGGAAAAGCCTTCAAAAGGATTTCTAATTTAATTTTGCATAGGAAAAGTCACATGGGTGAGAAACAATTTGAATGTAAACTATGTGGGAAAGTGTTCAATGATTCCTCAACCTTAAGGAGACATGTAAGAACTCACACTGGAGAGAAACCATATGAATGCAATCAATGTGGAAAAGCATTCAGTCAAAAAACATCCCTTAAGGCTCATGTGAGAACTCACACTGGAGAGAAACCTTACGAATGTAGTCAGTGTGGAAAATCCTTTGGCACAAGCTCTTACCTTATAGTGCACAAGAGAATACACACTGGAGAAAAACTCTATGGATGCAGTGACTGTGGAAAAGCCTTCAACACAAGCTCTCACCTTAAGGCTCATAAGAAAATACACACAGGAGAGAATCTTTATGAATGCAATGACTGTGGGAAAGTTTTCAGTGGTCTCTCATCCCTTAGAATGCATGTGAGAACACACACTGGAGAGAAACCCTATGAATGTGAAAAATGTAGGAAAGCCTTCAGTGTTTCCTCTTCCCTAAGAAGACATGTGAGAATTCACACCGGAGAAAAACCCTATGAATGTATTCAATGTGGAAAAGCCTTCAGTCAGAGCTCTTCACTTGTTATACACAAGAAAATTCATACTGGGAAAGAAACCCTGTAAATGTTTTGAATGTGGA